TCTATTATTTTAAATGTAATATTTGGTACGATAAAATATATGTTGTTGTTGTTGATAAATTCCCTAAATATGTCTCACGATATAAGTGTTATATTTTATATATGGTCCATTGAGCTTTATTGGTACATTTCTTAATAATATTTATTTTAAAAGCATCATATATTTAGATTTTTTCATTTTAACAATTATTAATAATTTTTTTTTTAATTTTTTAATTTCAACATATTTAATAAAGAACATTTATAACAAGAGCCTTCTAACGTTGTAAATATTATATAATGATAATTTTTAATAGAATATTTGACGTCCATAACCACAGGTTTTTTGTTACTATTTATTATTACTATTTTTTTCAATTTAAGTTTCAATATTTCGTCTTCGATGAAATAACACAAATAAATTTTAGTTTTTTTTCATATGTGCATTTTTGAACTCATTTATTCTTTTTGTAAGAGACAATGTTTTATTTCCCATTAAAAAACGAAAAATAGAAAATAAAAAATAATATCTACTACACACAAATAAAGCTAAGAAAGAAAAACCATATTAAATTATTAAAAAATCCAGTGAGCGGAGCAATATAGTCGGACGGGGCCGACCATACCCTACCCAACTAACACTGAACTCAAACTTTCTGCGGATTTTTATTCCGAGCCTTGGTAATATTTCGTGATAGTGCACCCTCTTGCCTGATTATGGGTCAACAGCACATCTTCCTAACACTGACATATTTTCCGAATATTACTAATATTCAGTACAGTCCTTCTAATTACTTGTCCATATTCCCTTCACTGTGGGTTGTGTTGTGATGTTCGGCTTATAATTGTGGCCTATAGATCGATCGATCTATTGTTTTTGGTAAGGGTCAGTTAATATTTAGGGGATGAAATGGACCAAATACTTAATTTTTTCGGGTTTTCTGGTCGCTCAAAAGGCCGCAATTATGGCCCGAACAACGCGAAATTTTACATAGAGAAGGGGATCGGACCAAAAAAAAAGTATACCAACTTTGATAAATATCGGTCAATATTTAGCGGGTCAAATGGACCCAGACTTTTGTGTAAAAAATTACAAAATTTGTATTCTATAGCGTATATATTTAATCCTGAAGAACATAGACCTGAGAAATTGATAGTATATCCAAGAGGAGTGTTTGGCCTTTAAATTGATACCAATTATATTTTCGTATGTACTCGGATGTGAGAGTTACACGTAAATATTTACAGGTGCATACATATTAAGAAATGATTTTATAAACCACTAGCATATACCCGCTACTTCATTAGCGAATGTGGGATGTATTTAAAACCCTATATCGACCATTATTAAAATTTTAGAACCATTTAGTACGAATGTTTTGCCATAGTATGTTCCCAAATCTACCTCTGTATCTCAACCCTATCCTATACTAAATTCAGTTAGTGAACATTAATATAAATTTCCAAAACTACCTACTTTAGCAATCATAAGTACGAATTTCCAACACTTCCCACATACTCCAATCTTAATTCCAAATTTCAGGATTCTAACGGTTCAACTAAATCCAATTTGTATCACATTTAGTACCACTTAGAACACATAAGTAAAAATTTCCATTACTACCTACATCGTGTTGGATTGCACGAAATCATGATTAGATAAAATCTTAATTATAATCCAAATAATATCAAATTTAGTACACAGTAGTACGAATTTCCAAAACATCCTACTTAACCCAAACAGTGTTAAGTAGGAAGTTTTGTGTGTATGTTTGTGTTAAGTAGGAAGTTTTGGAAATTCGTACTACTGTGTACTAAATTTGAATTAAATCCAAGTTTCAGGATTCCAACTCTATTGGTTCACCCACAATTCAATTTGTAGCAAATTGTGTACATAGTTGTATCAATGTCCAAAACATCCTACATACCTCAATCCTACACCCGCACAGTCATCCTAAATCCAATTTTCAGTATTCCAACTCTATTGGTTCACCCACAATTCAAATTGTACCAAATTTAGTACATAGTTGTACCAATTTCCAAAATTTTCTACATACCCTAATTCTACACCTCCACAGTGATCCTAAATCAAAAGTTCGGGATTCCAACTCTATCGGTTCAACCACAATTCAAATTGTACTAAATTTAGTACACAGAAGTACCAATTTCCAAAACATCCTACATACCTCAACCCTACACCCCCACAGTGATCCCAAATCAAAATTTCATGATTTCTACTTTATTGGTTCACCCACAATTTAATTTGTACCAAATTTAGTACACATTAGTACACATTTCTAAAACTTCCTACATATTTCAATCTTACACCTCAACAGTGATCCTGACTCCAAATTTCATGATTCTAGCTCTATTGGTTCACCTAAAATTCAAATTGTACCACATTTAGTACCCATAAGTATTAATTTGTTAAACTGAATCCTGACCCTAATCCTACATCCCTACAATGATCCTAAGTCCAAACTACATTGTTCCAGCTCTATCGGTTCACCCCAATCCAAATTGTACCAATTATAGTACGATTTAGTACATTTTGTACACATAAGTAAAGAAATTCCAAAACTACGTACATATCCCAATCCTACACTCCGACGATAATGTTAATTTCAGTTTTCAGGATTCCAGCTCGATTTGTACCTCCAAATCAAATTTGTACCAAATATAGTACTTTTCGTACACATGAGTACGCGCTTTCCAAACTCTCCTCATATCGACCCTACTTCTCAACGTTATTTTACATTCCAAATTTCAAGTTTTTTAGCTCACTCCATTCACATGCTACGAATTTGTACCAAATTTAGTACATTTTCGTACTTTTCGGATAGTTATAGTCGAATTTCCAAAAACCCTTTAGTACATCTATCCTACACTCAATCAACGACCACCAACCCAAATTTCAGAGTTCTAGCTTCACCTGTTCGCCAAATACAAATGGTATCACATTTAGTACTTTTCGTACCGTTATAGTACGAATTTCCAAAAACCCAGCCTTATCTGTCACATTTGGACCAATAGTGACCCTCACCCAAAATTTCAAGATTCTAGCTTCAGCCGTTTCGTGTGGGCGTTGATGAATCGTTAAATCAGTAATCGTTACTCTTTTATTAGTATAGATTAGTACCTTTTAGTACTTTTCGTACCGTTATAGTACGAATTTCCAAAAACCCAGCCTTATCTGTCACATTTGGACCAATAGTGACCCTCACCCAAAAGTTCAAGATTCTAGCTTCAGCCGTTTCGTCTGGGCGTTGATGAATCGTTAAATCAGTCAGTTAGTCAATCACTTTACACTAGAGGGCGGAAATATTGCGCTAATCGCTTTGAAATGTTCCCTGAGGTTCCACTTATGGTCAAGGACAACCCCTATAATTTTCGGTGATGATCAAATAATAATTTTGGGATTTAGGAATACAAATCTGCAGAAAGTTAGAGTTCCATGGTAGTTGTGTAGGGCATCGTACGGTCGGCCCCGACCGACTATACTGCTGCTCTCACTGCTTTTTTTTCTAATAAACTATTTTTATTTCATTTTAAAATGTATAATTAATTTAAAAATTTTAAACGTTCGTTACCACTTTTTTATATTTTTTTATTTTTTTATGTTTTCTTTAATGGCTTATTTTTTATATAAAAAAAAAACACAAAAATTATAATCGAAAATCTGCACATAAGAATAATAAAGATTTTTTAATTGATAAAACTAAAAAAATAAATAAAAAAATACATAAAAATTAGAAAAAAAATTATTTTTTTCAATAAAGAAAAATTAATATTTTTCCATTTTTTTTTTTTTTTTTTGAAAAAAGAAATTTTGAAAAAAATTGATTTTGTAAAATTAATAAAATAAAAACCCTTTTTTTTGATTTTTTTATTTTTGCAATTCAATATATTTTTTTTTTATTGAAATAATTGAAAAATCTTAAATAATACTACTACACATAAATCTACATACCTAATTTAATACACAAAAAATAATAGTTACATTTAAAATATATATGTAAATAATAATAATAATAAAATTAATTAATAAAAAAATAAACACACATAAAAAAAGAGTTGGTAAAAATATTAAAAAATATTAAATTCTTTCGTTCTCCTCCCAGGATGCATGAAGGAGGAAATTAAAGGAAAAATGTACCAAAAAAAATGTTTAAAAATTATATAAAAAATAATACAATAATTAACAAAAAATTTGTTGTCGTTGTTGTTGTGATGGGAAACAAACAAAAAAAAACATGCAAAAGAAAAATAAAATGTGAAAATAAAAAATCAAAAAAACAGGGAACAAAATGGAATTGGCTTAAAAACTATAGGGGGTTGTTTTTGGTCCAATAATAGTTCGTTGTTGTTGTTGTACAAAAAAATGAAATAAAAAAGCAAATTAAAATTTAATAAATTAAGAGTGCCTTTCGAGATGATGTACAAATAAAAATAAGATTATTTATAAAACAAAAAAAGTGCTAAGGGTGGGTGGGGTATTTTGCACGAACTGTGTGTGAGTGTGAGGGTGGTGGTGGTGGGGTGATTGAATATTTTTGATGTTTTTTTTTTTCCTATGAGTTGAAGTAGATTATTGTACACTTAATTATTATTAAAAAAAGAATACTTTCATTGGATATTTAGTTGTTGTTGTTGGGGTTTTTTTTCTAAATTTTTGCTAATAAATTAAACGTAACTCAGAATTTTTTGTTTTTGTTTTCTTTAACTCCTTTTCATTTGCCACATAACGCAATTGGCTATATTATTTAGGACTAGGAATAGTTTTGAATTATTCACAAGCCTATAATTAAAGCTGTATGAAGAAGAACCTGCCTTGAGGCTCCTCCACAAAAAGAACTAAGAAAGTGGAACTCAAAGGGAGAGTTACGCCATTTTGGCTTTGAGAATGGTTGTTTGTTGTTTTTGCTATTTTTGCTTGATTGCTGTTTTTGTTGTTGATGTTTGTTTTCAGGTGTTTTAAGTTCTGTATTTATCTCTCTCCTTCCTTAAAAGTCATTTTGTGTCTGGCTGGATTTAGAAAGGACGACGCAATTTGTTTATGGCATTGGTCAAGTGCAGAATTTCTGTGTTCATTTGATGCAACAGGGTGTCCAATTTCTCCACACTATCCAAAATCTCAACACGTTCGGTGTGGGGATTGAAACGCACCTCGAAGGGACGCGACATGGTGGACACCCAGCGGCGGAATTTGTCCTTGGCATCGTCGAAACTTTCGGCCACATAGTAGATGGGTTGGTATTCTTGATCCTGATAGGGTTGGACAGCGGTGGAGGCGGGTTCGAAGGGACGATGTTCACACTTGTCGGAGATGGCGTGCAAAAGTTCACCATAGGCGGACAAGAGACCGGCACCGTAGGCCTTCACCTCGCCGTGTTCCTTGCAGAGACCGAATTCAACGGTGAACCAGTAGACCTAGAAAGAGATAAACGAAACAAAACGACTTTTTAATAAAATGCCAAGCAACAAAAAAAAAATAGAATTGTTTTAACAAACAAAAGACCTTGAGTCCAAAATGTTTTTCACTTTGGCCAATTTAAGTCAAGATTAGAAAAAAAGAGCAATTTAGTTTAAATGATTGTTGTATTGGTGTTGTTTTTGTTTTTGCCTCTTAACAGAGAACTTGACTGCAATTCAAGTAGCTGCACTTAAACTTGGCTTAGAACTTTAAAACCAGCCACCAACCAGCAGCTTTTCATAATCATGCAGGCAGCCAGTTCGATTGCCAACCAACCAGCACACCCAACCATTGCCATGAAAACTTGTTTGAAAGCCCCAAGAAACTGTGGTGGCCACATTCTAAAGGTTAAGTCAATGTAATGTGAAAAAATAAATTTAATTGTTCAAAAAAAAA